AAAAATGCAAAGTTAATAACAGAGTCCATCACCACATGAAGATGGGCATACTGAGAGGATAGATGATATAGGATAACTTCCTGGTTCAGGTATTAGAAGGACCATGCCAAGGAGAAGCCGTACTGGACCTGGTGCTCACCAGTGCAGAGGAGAGCACTAGAGGGTTTAAGATTGGAGGCAGCCTGGGCTGCAGTGATAACGCCCTGGTGGAGTTTGTGATCTTGAGGAATGCAGGCCTGGCAAAAAGTAGAGTTAGGACCCTGAACTTCAGGAAAGCAACTTCCAGCTGATAAGGAACAGCTGGGTGGGATCTCCTGGGAAAACATCCTTGAGGGCATAGGAACAGAACAGAGCTAGCAGCTCTTTAAAGACACTCTTCTAAGACTGCAAGAGTTCTCCATCCCCCAGCAGAAGAAACTGAGCAGAGGAGGAGGGCGACTAGCACAGCTGAGCAAAGACCCACAGCTTAAACTGAGAGCAAAGAGGGAAACGTACAGAAAGTGGAAGCAGGGTTGTGTAGCCTGTGAAGAATATAGGGATGTTGTACACATGTGCAGAGATAGCATCAGGAAAGCCAAGGCAAAGATGGAGCTGAACTTGACAGGCGATTTGAAAAATAAAAAGGAGTTCTACAAGTACATAGATAGGAGGAGATAGACCAAGAAGATCATAGGTTACCTCTCTGATAAATGAGAATGAAGAACTGGCTTCCTCAGACATGGAAAAATCTGAGGTGTTCAGTAATTGCTTTGCCTCAGACTTCACTGGTGGTCAGGTTCCTCCCCATGTCTGTTAGGACCCTGAACCTCTAGGTGAGGGTGAGAGGAGTGAATTCTGTCCCACGGTAACAGTGGAACAAATCCAAGACCTTCTCATGAAACTGAATGTATACAAGTCCATGGGCCAGGTGATATCTATCCTAGGGTTCTAAGAGATGGCTGATGTGGCTGCCAAGCTACTCTTCATCATAATTGACAAATTTGACAAATCATGGCTGTTGGGTGAAATCCCCAGTGACAGGAAGAAAGGAAACATTACTTCCATTTTCAAGAAAGGGAAAAAGAAAGATCCAGGAGCGACAGGCCAGTGAGCCGCACCTCTGTACCCGGGAAGATCATGGAGCAGAACCTCTTAGGTACCGTGTTAAGGCACATACAAGATGTAGAGGTGATCCAGGACAGCCAGCATGGCATCACCAACGCCAAATCTTGCCTGACCAACCTGATGGCCTTCTGTAATGGAGCGACAGCACTGGGAGACAGGGGAAGGGCAACAGATGTCATCTCTTTGGGCTTCTGCAAAGCCATTAAAAGGATCTTTACCTGGCATAAGGATAAATTATAACGTGGCCTGAGTTAAAGATAAGCTGCTAAACTTTATAAGGAAATTTGTGCTACATCTTCAAGTGGTTCACTACTATATAATCAAAGAATATTAAGATCTTATAATTAGGAAATAAACAAGAGAGTTAGACAAAACAGATAAAGATAACAAAAAAAAAAAAAGCTAGTATACTTACCCATATCCTGGGCTCACTTATGAAACACCAGCAGAGTAGATCACCAGAAGAAATCCCTCCCTGCTGGTAGTCAGCTCTTAAATGGGTCTAGGAGAGGTGCAGCCAGGCTCCACCCATTCCAGCAGCACAGGTGAATCGCCTTCACCTGTGCTCACATGGCTGACTCATTGCTCGTCTCAGGTGATCAATCGGAGGTTCAGGTCGTGATTCAGCAGTTCCCATACGACCACACTGAAGCTTAATCTGAACATATTTTTTCAACAATAAAATAATATTGGGTGATGGTGCTGGACAAAGATGGAGATCACCACAGTCATTTATTGAAGATAAAAAGCCCCATATTTGAAAGTACATTCTGCTCCACGTGTAAACAGAATCTTCACATTCTGTCTCAAAAATGTATTCTGTAATGCTACCTGCCTTCCCATCGTCACTGCAGAACTGTTAGGTCACAGCTTGAAGTGCTGATTGAGCACCTGGTGAACGGATGTGGCCAGAAAAAGTGGACTGGAGACGTTCTGGGCTCATATGAAGGCCAGTCACTGAAGGGAACATACCTCTTGGACCTAGGATGCTTTTTGAGAAGGAGTGCTGCATAGCTAGAAAGCCTCTTCGGAGTGAGTTAAGCTCTTCTTTCTGCACATGATTATTAGCCTACCTGTGAATGTTTTACCTGTCAGAAACAATTTTGCTTCTTTCTGAGCAGAACATTTGTTGTAGTTGGCAGGATAGCAAGGAAAGCATCTTAAAGACAGAAATAGCATTTGTAAAGACTATTCCTGGGCTCCGTCAGAAGAGAGGTGGCCAGCAGGGACGGGGAAGTGATTGTCCCTCTCTACTTTGCCCTCGTGGGGCCCCATCTGTCTCCAGGCCTGGGGCCTCCAATACAGGAAAGATGTGGAGCTGCTGGAGAGGGTCCAGAGGAGAGCCACAAAAACAGGCTGAGGGAGCTGGGCTTGTTGAGTCAAGAGAAGGCTGAGAGGAGACCTCATTGCAGCCTTCCAGTATTTAAATGGGGATTATAAACAGGATGGGAATCAACTTGTAACAAGGGTAGACAGTGACAGGACAAGGGGAATGGTTTTAAGCTCAAGGAGAGAAGGTTTAGATTCGCTGTCAGGAGAAGATCTATAGAGAGAGCATGGTGAGGTGCTGGAAGAGGCTGCCCAGAGAGGTTGTGGATGCTCTGTCCCTGGAAGACCAGGTTGGATGGGGCCCTGGTAACCCGGTTTACTACCCGATCTGGAGGTTGGTGGCCCTGCCTGTGGCAGGGGGGTTGGAACTTGATGATCCTTGAGGTCCTTTCCAACCCAAGGCATTCTACAATTCTATTCCACAATGCAGAAGATCTCTCTTGAAAAGGAGTTACCTGGACACATCCCAGGGTTTCTAGCATCTCTGTAGCATTCTGCTGTGGAGGCAGTAGAAAAATGGGGACCATTTAGGAGTTACGGGGACATTCCCAAGTTGCCATCTTGTATGGCTGAATTTCTTGGAAAATTTGAGAAATCATATTTTGACTACTAGGGAAAGGCAGCTTAATGCATCAACTGTGGCATGGCCACAACTAGTAGCATTCAAGTACTAGTAGCATTCAAGTACTTCCAGTACTTGAAGTGAGCATATAAACAGGAGTGGGAATGGCTGTTTATGAGGGTGGATAGTGATAGGACAAGGTGAAATGGTTTTAAACTGAGACATGGGAGGTTTGGGTTATATTAGGAGGAAGTTTTTCACACAGAGGATGGTGACGCACTGGAACAGGTTGCCCAAGGAGGTTGTGGATCCTTGGAACATTCAAGGCCAATGTCTCGCTCCAATTTATAGGAGGGAGAGGAGGTTCTTTTAATATATGTATACCCGGCATGAGATTAAGAAACAATGGTTCAAATGTTGGTCCAACCAGTTTACTATAAATCCTAATCAGGAAGATGGGGAAGGAAAGGATGGTGACTATTATGAATTAGACTGACGGGGAAGGGAGGGAGGGCGATAGAAAAGATAGGAAAGAAGCAAGAATTGCGTGAAGTGGGGATAGTCACCACCAGGATCCAGCAGCGGTCCCGTTGCACGCTGTTTCAAAGATCCGAGGCAAAAGCAGCGTGGAGAGAGCAGCAGCAGCATGGCCAGCCTTGGGCAGCAAGCAGGTAGCAGGAAGAAGTCTCAGAGCCAATCCAGGAGGAAGCAGCAGGACTCAGGTAGCAGGCCCAGGAGAGTCTTTCAGCATGCAGGAATTCCGTAGCGAGGAATCTGATGGCAGGCACCTCTATTCTTCTTCAGCATCGTGGTAGAGCGCAGAGCAAGTCAGAAAAGAGAGAGGCAGATTGTGAGGCTTCTCATGTCAGAAACCTCTTCTTCTTTTGAGGAATCTGTTGCTAGAAAACCTCACCTCATGGTTGTAGGTCCCCTTTTTATCTTCCTTGTTCTGCCAGCGTGGCACTCCTGGGCACTTGGGTAAGAGTCATGTGCAGCACCTCCTGAGATGGCCATCTTCCTTGAGATAAGTCCACACAAAAAACTGCTTCACGGCCATTAAGCTATGGCTTATCTCTCTCTCGTTGCCCCTGGCCTTGTCCATCTGGGTCCCTCAGACAAAGGATTTCACAACCCTTGCCCAAGATTTGTCCCTCAGTGTTCCCCAGACAAAGGTCATTATGGTCCTTTTGAACCCAAACCATTCTATGGTTCTTTCATTCTATGATATTGGATCTGTTGTCGTCCTTCCCTGCACAACCAAATATGTGTAAGCCATGCAATCAATACTCCCTAATGGGCAGCATTTCCAAGGTTCATTTGTTAACTGAGAACATGACACATATTGAATTTGTTTCTTCATAATGCATTTGGCATTAACAAGAAAATCTGTCAAACACCTCAGAGGTCACTCTATCTCATTTGTGGTATTCTTGTAATAAGCAAATAATTGTAATAAACAAATTGCAACAAACAAGTAAGTTTCTTATAATTAAAACTGAGCCAGAATTCTGAAGTTTTCCTTTCGCTGTGTGAAAGATTTTCACTATCCACTCCTCATTGGGATTGTTCATATGCTGTTATCTGGAAAGCTGCTCACCTGGGATCTGTGAAGCTTGGTCACATGCCCACTGCTTCTTATACGTGCCTTAAGTTTGGTGGTTACAAGCTGAATTTACCTTTTGTGTACAAAAAAATGTGTTTTAATTTCACTTTACTGTTATTACTTAGTATGAGCATATTCGTGTAAATATTTAGCTTAATTTCTCCAGCACCTAGGTCAGTTTCTACAAGTATTCCTTCCTGAAAAGTACTTTTTTGGGGAAGTATGTGGAATTTTGAAGATGTTATCAAAGAAATGCAGGAGTTTCAGCAAGGCTCTGACCAATGTTAATTAAGAATCACAACACTTTAGATCAGGGAAAAAAAAAAAAGAATGAAAATTGGAAATGAGATCTCTCTCCTCACTCTGCAGCAATCCCCGACCTCAGTCCCTTCTGTGTTGCAGGGCAAACACAAGCTGCAGGTGGACACCGGACTGGAAGGTTCCTGGTGTGGCCTCATCCCAATTGGGAGCTCCTGTGACAGCGTGACCACAACTGGTCTCAGGTGGAACCTTGGTAAGTCAGGGCCTCCCTTTTCCTTGTGGCCCCCCTTCCGGGGCCACACATTTCCCATGCATTGCTGAGCATCCACGCCAGCCTCACTGCCACCCAGGGTCTTCCTGCGCTGGGCATTGGAGTGTGGCACTCCATGCCTGCATCCTTGCTGGATCCCCTGCTTGTTTCTGGGAATGAAGTTTAAAAAAAAACCACAAATAATATTTAAAACTGAAATATTGCAGGCAGAGACATGTTTTCAAATTGGGAGTCACTGAACAGTTTAAATCGAACATTTGTTGGAGTTGTGATAAATTACCATCTAGATGCATTGCCCTCTATGGAGGAGATGCTGGGAGTGCCTGAAGTCCTTGTTACACATCAAAAAGTTACAACAAACAATAATGTGTTACAGATTATTAAGGCTACCTCACTTCCCCTGAACTGCTTTACATATATTATCTGTTTGTCAACTCTGAATGACTATATCTTTGTCTTTTTCTGAATTTAAAATGGGAAGAGAAGTGGGACAGCTATTTGTAGAGAAAGGTTTATTGACCAAAAACAAAGAAAAATTGAAATCATCTTCATTTTCTTGCCCGCTCTCCCACTGATTCCACTGAGTGATTCAGCTGTATTCACTAAAGAAAATAATAGGATATAAATACGGCATGAATTTCAGGGTATGAGAGACTGGCCAGATAAAAGGATGGAGAGCTGACTAGTGATGATTTCATTCTCTTAAACTGGGTTGAAGGCACTGAATGTTTAAGGGACTGTCTCTTTAAGTTTAAAAAAGTGAAATATTTTCATTTCTACTGATAAGTACATTTGACAGGTAAGTTACAGAATATTCCTCTGCTCACTCCTGCTGTGCAGTGAATGTTGTGGCAAGTTATACTGAGGGACCAGCCATTTCTCAGCAAATGTTCTGCCCTTCAGAGTGATCTGAAGATCAGATCAGCCTTACAGTAATGGGAGAAGTCTTTGAAGCTTATATCATTCTATAAAATGCTGCTACCTGGATCAAAATGTGGTGAGCTCTGTGAGGTTGCTGTCCTTTCTTGAGGTTTTGGTTGGTTCGTTTAAAAAACAGGTTATTTATAATCAGAATTTTTTTTAGTTTAATGTCATAAATTTCATCAGTTTTAAAAGGTGGTCATTAGAAAGTAATTTTAAAGATTTGTCTGCTATCACCAATGACATGGCTTTGTTACTCCTGGAGTTATGATTTGTGAAGACTGCTGAAACTAAATGTCACCCTGTACAAAACAAAAATATTTTTGTACTTTTAAACAAAGTTTTCTACATGTTCCTGTTAAACGAGACAGTTTACCAATCTGCCTGTTCCAGTTTGAAGGGAACGCAGTGGGAGTTACATTAATAGCTCATAGCTAGGATGGGGTTGAGAAATTGTTTTCTTCATCTGTTTATAATTATGTTGTAACAAACTTCTTCAGCTTATTAGGAGACATAGCTAGTTGTGGACCTACTGGGATTTTTATTACACATAATTCTGTCTTTCTGGGAGACACCAAAGTACTGAAGTGCCTGTTGTTTCATGTTAACATGGCACTTTCATCCCATCTCCCATCCCATCCCATCTCCCTTGTTGCTCTCCATTTCCAAGACGGAACCTCAGGCCTTTACAGTCTTCCTTAGCAGTGTGTATACTGCATCCTGTTATAGGCTACACTTTCAGTCTCGGTATTCCTGTTTCTGATGGGTAGAGAGAGACTTCACAGCATTGGGATGGTTAGCTGATGGAGTGGGAACTCAGGTGCTGTTTTCTTCAGTCCATTAGGAAACAGAGAAGGATACTGAGAGGAACAGGAAAACCCACCTGATCAACACATGTCTAAGAGGCTCATGCCATAAGAGGAGTTTTAATTTATTTTTAACATGGGGCAGTTTATTCAGCACCAGGCCTGCTGGCAACTGATGGGGTCTGTCTGTGTCAAAGTGAGAAAACCATTCTAGCCCAGGAATTGCGAGGGCTCATTGAGAGTGCTTTAAGCTAGATTTGAAGGGAAAAGGGATAAAACCACTCTAACTTGAGATTGAAGGTAGTGTTCCAGGTCCAGGGGTGAGCCCAGCTGAAGTGTGTCTACTCTAACACATGCAGCATGAGCAACAAACAAGACAAGCTAGAAGAGTTTGTGTGACTGTAAAACTATGACTTAGTCACCTCCACCCAAACTTGGTGGGATCATTTTCATGACTCGAGTGTTGCAATGGAGAGAGCTATAAGCTCTTTAGGAGGGATAGGCAAGGAAGGAGAGGCAGTGGATTTGCTCTCTGTATTAAGGAGCATTTTGATGTCGTAGAGCTCAATACTGGGAATGATAATGTTGAGTCATTATGGATAAGGATCAGGGGAAGATGTGACACCCAACCAGTATGAAGAGACAGATGAAGTGTTCTGTAAGCAGTTGGCAGAATTCAAACAATTGCTGGTCCTTATTCTCATGGGGAGCATCAACTTACTTGACATTCACTGGAAATAGAATACAGCAGAGAGGAAACAGTCTAGGATGTTCCTTGACACAGGAGCAGGAACTTGGTGACACAGGAACAGGAACTTGGTAAGAGAGCCTACTAGAGGAAGTACACTATTTTACCTAATGTCTGACAAACAGAAAGAACAGTGGGACATTGTTTGAGTTCTCCATTCTTGGTGAAATTAGGATGGAGGTCAGACTTTAAGCTGTTTAGTACATTGGTACCCTTAGTACAAGGGTACCTTTAGTACCCTTACTACTTTAGTACTGGTACCCTTGGGAGTCAGTCCTGAAGTACAGTGGGGTCCAGAAAGGCTGGACATTCCTCAAGAAGGAAACCTTAAAGGCATGGGAACAGGCTGTCCCCCTGTTCCATACAATAAGCCAGCAAAGAAGACAAGCCAGGATGAACAGGGAACTGAGAGAGTTTACTGTCTTTGGAAGAAGGGTCAGACATATCGGGAATTGTACAGGGATGTTACTAGGGTATGCAGAGGGAAAATTAGAAAGCCAAAAGCCCAGGAAGAGCTTAGTCTGGTCACCATTGTTAAAGATAATTAAAAAAAATGTTTTTACAAATATGTTACTACCAGCAAGAGGAGGGCTAAGAAGAATCTCCGTCCTTGATTGGATGCAGTGGGGAACATTACCAGTGAGAATGAAAAAAAGGCTAAGTTTCTCAGTGCCTTCTTCAATTCTGTCCATAATAGTCAGACCAGCTATATTCAGGGTATTCAGACAGGAATAGGGAGCAGAATAAACCCCCCCATAATTTAAGAGGAAACATTTAGCAACCTGCTGTTCCATTTGGACTTTCATGGGGCCATGGGGCCAGATGAGATCCACTCGAATGTCCTGAGGGAGCTGATGGAATTGATTGCTAAGCCACTTTCCATCATTTATCAACAGTCTTGGTAAGCCAGGGAGGTCCCAGACGACTAGTGACTTGCTAATATGATGCTCATCTACAAGAAGGATTGGAAGGAGGATCTGAGGAATTATAAGCCTGTCAACCTGACCTCAGTACTGGGAAAGGTTATGGAGTAGATAATCTTGAGTAAGATCATGCGACATATACAGAACAGCCAGAGGATCAGGCCTAGCCAGCATGAGTTCATGAAAGGCAGGTCCTGCTTGACCAACCTAATCTCCTTTTTTTTGCCAGGTGAATGTAATCTACCTAGATTTTAGTAAAGCCTTTGACTGCATCCCAGAGTATTCTCTGTGGAAGCTGACAGCCCATGGCGTGGACAGGTGTACTTTTCACTTGGTAAACGACTATCTGGATGGACAGGGACAGAGAGTGGTGGTGAATGGAGTTAAATCCAGCTGGTGACCAGTCGGTAGTGATGTTTCTCAGGAATCAGTAAAGGTTAATATCTTTAATGATGATCTGGATTAATGGATTGAGTGAACCCTCAGTAAGTCTGGAGACAACACCAAGCTGAGAGAAGTGTTGATCTGCCTTGAGAGTAGGTCGGCCCTTTGGAAAGATTTGGATAGGCTGGATTGATGGGCTGAGGCCACCTGTATGAGCTTTAACAAGACCAAATGTTGGGTGCTGCACTTTGGTCACAGTAATTTCATGCATCACTGCAGGCTTTGGACAGAATGGCTGGCAAACTGGATAGAAGGAAAAGATCTGGGGTTGTTAGTTGACAGCTTGCTGAATGTGGGCCAGCAGTGTACCCAGGTGGCCAAAAATGGAATCCTGGCTTATATCAAATATAGTGCAGTCAGCAGGGTTAGGGAGGTGATTGTCCCTCTGTATTAGTCACTGGTGAGGCTTCACCTCAAGGACTGTGTTCAGTTTTGGGTCCCTCACTACAAGAAGGCACTGGAGGCTCAGGAGTGTGTCCAGAGAAGGGCAGTGAAACTGGTGAAGAGTCTGGAGCACAGATCTTATGAGGAGCAGCTGAGAGAACTGGGGTTGTTTAGTCTAGACAAGAGAAGGCTCAGGAGAGACTTTATTGCTCTCTACAATTACTTTGAAAAGAGGTTGTTAGTGAGGTTGGGGTTGGCCTCTTTTCCCAGGTAACTAGCAATAGAACTAGAGGTAATGGCTTTAAGTTGCACCAGGGGAGGTTCAGGTTACGTATTAGGAAAAATTTTTTCTCTGAAAGTGTAATGAGGTATTAAATCAGGCTGTCCAGGGAGGTGGTTGAGTCACCACCATCCCCGGAGGTTTTCAGGAGAAGGGTAAATGTGGCACTGAGTGACATACTTTAGTGGTCATGGTGTTGATGAGGTGGTGGTTGGAATAGATGATCTTAGTGGTTTTTCCCAGCCTTAATGATTCTATTATTTATTTCTCTACATTATCATCACATAAAAACAAAGATAATCAGGCTTTCAATCAAGGTTTTTAATGTTTAACAAAGATTTATGTCTGAGTGTATCTAGATTGCTGTGCTGATTAAAATATGCAAATCCTATAGTGTAGTCAAACAGTGTCTAAACTACAGGTGCATTCATGAGATTTTATAGTCTCTGAATAGAGAAAGACAAGGATAAATACTT